TATTTATCTGTCTTAATTGTTAACTGCGATATATCAAATACTTATCAAGTTAGGGGCAATATGGTCTTTACATATATAGCAATATTTTTATTATACAAATTGATTGATTGATTGATTTATCTTAATTTAATTGCGATATATCAAGCAGATGAAGTAAGATCGATTGTTTTGAAATGCGATGTCAAATCTGTTGAAGGTGTAATGATTATTGTTTTCGAATGGTATGTGTTCGATTGGTTATTGGGTTTGTATATAGGGATCGATTTTAAACGGGGTTAAAGATTTGGGAACGAATAACTTAAATTCGATGTTTTCTGGAACGAAGCCTTGGTTATTAAATGAATCATACGAAGGATCTGTTATTTGATTTTGGAATTGGGACGAATAATCGAACGATTTGGAGTTGCGAATTTGATTTTGAAAAGCCAATCAGTTGGGTTCGCATATGAAAACAGATAAGTTTTGATTTTGGATTCGCAATTGGGTTAATTGGGTTATTGATTGAGGGACGATTCGTGAAGAAAAATGCGAAGTCAAGAAGGACTGTGAAATGTGATTTGTTCAATATTGGAGTCAAATGCAGTTCACGTGTAAAAGCGAAAATGTTCGCATTTGGTAATACAAATCAAAATTGGGTTTCGCATATGAGGTTGTATGGATTGGGGTTAAAGATGCGAAGGTGATTATGGTTAATATTCATTTCGCATTTGGTGAGACAAACAACTCAAATGCGAATGAACTAAAAAAAAAATGACTGGAACATGCGAAGAAAGAGGGTGAATGAAGAATGCGAATTTTACAGTAGAATGCGAATTGGGGAAGAAAGCTAAGAATTTCGCATTTTTATTATACAAATTGATTGATTGATTGATTTGTCTTAATTGTTAATTGCGATATATGAAATACTTATCAAGTTAGGGGCAATAATATTTATTTGAGTTATAACCAAAATCAACTAACTTGTCCAATTTAAAACAATAAAAGTATCTAAAAATATTCAAAACCAATAATATTTGACATCCTAAATACCCAAAATAAAAATCATACCAAGCAATTAAAATATCTTTATAACCAAAACAAATGATCAAAATATATCAAATGTGTCTTATAACCGATAGAAACTCACTTTTCAATTTTTGGAATCAAGAGTGGAGTTTTCTCTGCGGTTGACTTTCTTTTAGCCTTAGTTGAACTTAAATCATATCCAGAATCAACATCATAAATTTCTTGGAGGTTGCGCTTCAAATCACCTGATATTTTGCAAGGACTTGTTGCGTTGACTTATCAACTGTTGAGGGTGTAAAACTTTCGTCTGTTTGTGAGATCACATCCTAATTTAAAAAAAAATGTTTGATTCCTAAAAAAAATAACTAATATAATTAAAAGTTTATAAAATAAAATGAAAAACCTTTTGAACAGGCTGTACAACATCATCGGATTCCAAAGCAACTTGATTTAAGGAGACAGATTGAATACTCTAAAAAATAAAATGGAAATATGTTAATCATTATGTACTTTAACATTAAAGAATTGTAAATTTTCAACAATAAAAAATTACATACCATAAGTTCTATTTTACTTTCCAATTCACAAACAATGGACATATCTTCTGTAACTCTGAGAACTGTGTAGATGTTATTATAGTTGTTGACATTGTATTCTGTAATATCTACAACAAAACCAAACTTGCGGTTTTTCAACACGTTAAGTTGCATTGGAAAATAGGGCACACTGTCTCCGGCCTGTAAGATATATTTTAATAAATTAAAAAAATTAAGTAAATGTTTTCTGATTTTAAAGGTATGAATAATATACCGCATCATGTATCTTTTTCAACTCGTAGGCACTTATATTTAACAACCTCCTTGCTTCCCTATCAAAAAGAGTCAATCCAATGGTTCCAGTACAATCTTGTACGTTAATTGGAATTATATACCTAAAACAAAAAATAATTATGTCATTGTTAGTGTTGTTTTAAGATTGACAAAATTAATAGAAATAAATATGTCTATACTTTATAACTGACTGAAATTAAGATTTTTTGCATTGTGCATTTGTACACTCGACAACCATAGTTTCTGAAATTCCCTCAGGGTTGGTATACGAATGATTGGTTTTGGGAACAGGGATAATTTTTTTTCCACATTTTTTGCATGCTTCATAATACCATGGTAGATTCTGCCTTATATTAACAATGGAAGCAACTAATAAAAACTTCATTTCCTGTATCATATCAAATGTAAAAATTATTAAAATAAATTATGCAAAAATAAAATGTAAAACATATAAAATAATGCAATATACCTTAATTGGTTCGGTGATTTCATAGATTGTTTTTAATGGAAAATTACCCTTAAAGTCATCTGTATATGAAGAAGAGTAGCTTTGAAGTGTAGTTATGCTTTTTTCAGTTATACCGAAATTGTCATGACATTTCAACCTGTAATGTTTAATTTAGATTCATGAATATTAGGTTTTGTGTTTTTTTTTAAGTTAAAATACATTATAAAAAATAAAAAACAATTGGAAACTAACTTATTTTTAAACTCATTTATTTCATAAATGTCAGAATTTATGAACAATTTCGTTACTTCAAAATGACTTTTAGCTTCACCAAGACCTGTAAAAAATGTATATCCAATTATTAAAATTTATATAAAACAGTAATTATAAGCATCTATATATAAAGACTGAATACAAACCATTCCAAATGTTTAGCTTCAAAAACTGCATCACGATAACAACAAAATTAACAGTCGGGTTATTTTTTAGGTATTCTAAAATTTGATATGCTTGACTTCCAAAAATAGTAACCTTCAGATGTACAGAACTAAATAAACCATAAAATAGTATATTAATATTAATTTGTGATTAATTAAAGATAATAAATAATAAATAAATAATACAATATAATCTCACTCTAGGTTGCTAAGAGTGACTTTTATATAATGCTTGGATGGTACTGGATTTGAAGTTTCAAGAGCCTAAATGACACGATATGTCCAATAACATCTACACAACAGATACCACAAAAAAATAAAAGTTTAGGATTAAATTCGTAATTTTTAAATAATAAAATGTATAACCAAAAAAATATGATAAAAAATGATTTTATTAATATTTTATGACTAACCAAAGAATGTGTCTTTGGGCATGTTTGTTCTATGATAGAATTAAAGTCAACAAACATAAATCCATTGACCGGACCCGAGAAATCATCACATTTTTTAGGATGCTTTTCCAATCCAAAGTTAAGGTCTGTTTATGACTTATATAACTAAAACCATTAGTAACAGCAGCCATATTGGGTTTTATAACTATATAACTTTCATCTTCCTTTAAAGATGACGAAATCTGGAGAAATTCTGATTGAAGACACGAGCTTGGTATTGTGTACCCTGTTTAAAAAAAAATTAAAATTATTATGTTCATGAAACATATCTAATATTGAATGATGAATAAAAAATATATCCAATACAACAAACCTCCTCATCCATGATGATCATTTCAATGGAACAAACTTTATTATTTCTGACAAAGTTCCAAATTTTAAGCACCCGAACCTTGATATGCGATTTTTCATCTATCTGGTCAATATTATTTAGGTAAACCTTATTTCCTATTTCCATTTTCTGCAATAAATTTAATCATTATAGAATTGTAAGGAAAATTAGCAACCTTTTAAAATGTACAACATCCTAACCAATAAGTAAAACAGAAAAATTATAAATCAACACATGACAATAACAACTGACTTAATGTACTCATAAATTTTTAAATTGAATAATTCATTTTATAATAAAATGGAATACAAACAAAACAAATAATTCATATGAAATAATTTTTAGATTGAATAAAAGTTTATATAGTAAGATGGAACACAAATATATAATAAACATGAAAACGACAATTATACCGAAAATGCCCCTGCAACATACTAACACTAACAGATAACATAACAATGAGTAAAACAGAAAAATTAAAAATCAACACATGACAATAACAACTGACTTAATGTACTCATAAATTTTAAAATTCTAAATTTTTTTGAGATTGTATTTAGATAAAAACAAACAAATTTTAAAATTTCATACCATAAAAAAAAGTTACTGTGCACATCTGAAAAAGACTATTTTTAATTTTTTTTAAAGAAAATGAACTTGTAATGTTCATTAGTTTTTCGTCTTTTAAACTGAAAAGGTAGAAGAAGTAGACGATTAAGAAGAATTACAAAAAAGAAGAAGAATAGAAATCATACAATGAGAACGTGATAGATACAGATAAATAAGAACATGGAGGAAATAGAAATATTGGTAATTCTGATTTTTGAATACACTAACCTGATATTTAATTCTTGAAGCGTTGCAGAATAACAAAGAATGAAGAAGAATACGTTTGCTGTGGTTTCTATGGAGCAGAATTGTTATGGAGCAGAATGGTAAAAACAAAATAACCGTATAAATGATATTTACGTTTGCTGAAAAGTACTGTAGATTTTTAGGGATTTAATGATTGCAATATATTGAACTAGGTTTAAACCCGTGGAAATCCACGGGTGATAAATTGAAATATAATTATAGTTTTTAATTTGTAACAAAAAAAAGATATGAAAGTTTAGAAAAAATGAAGAATAGTGATATTAGACAATTATAATATGCGTTTTTCCAGGTGAGTATTCATATAAAATATTTATTTCCTTAATTAAAACAACAAAAGATATATTTTTATTTATTTTTCCAATTTGCATAACTTTTTTTTATTGATTTAATAAAGTTGCATACCAAATTGTTAGACTGTTACGATTTCACCACCTAAAATATGTATATTTGTATTATAATATATTATCTTGTTAGTATTTCATGAATGCAATCAATAACACTGCTTTGAATGCGAAGTTGGATTTAGCTTTGCTATAAGTTTCAATCGATTTTGAAATTGAGTATTGTTCGCATTTGTATGAGTGTAGTCGATGAATCGATAAAGCAAGAACATATGAGTTTTGATTCGCAATTGGATTGATGATTGAGGGATGATTCGTGAAGAAAAACGCGAAGTCAAGGACTGTGAAATTGTTGTTTGCAAGAATTTAAAAACTCGATTGTGGAGTTGTTGATGCTCATTTTGCGAAAGTAAAACAATCGAGTGTTTGCATCTGTGAATCAATTTGAAGTCAATTGGGTTAATATTCGCATATGGGTTCAACATATGAATTTTTGATTTCGCAAGTTTAGAGTTCAAGAACTAAACTGTGTTCGCATCTGGAATGAAAATTTTGTGGTTCGCATTTGATTAATTAGGTTAAAATGCGAAGGTGATTAATGCGAAGGGATGCGAAGGGTGTAAGAATGAAGATGCGAAGTATTTCACAGTAGAATGCGAATTGGGGAAGAAAACAAAAATTTTCAAATATTGTCCCTGGAGTTTCGCATTTTTGGAAATAAATACTCAACTTCGCAAATGGGGGTCATAAAATGATGAAATTGCAGAATTTTTAAAGAGATACACACACATAGACAACCACACATATATTTAGAAAATTAAACTAAAAGATGATAAATTACAGATTATAGCATTGTTCTTTGAGAATAAATTACTAAAAATGGGATATAGACAATTATAAGACATTGTTCTTGACTTTTGAGTCCAAAGACGTATGATCCGAACTTTAATTGTGAAATCGTCCTTGATTGAGTCAATTTCCTTTATAGGAGTAATATGTTCCATTGTACCTTGCAAGTTAAAAAAAAAATTTACATTAAATTAGACAATTATAATCAGCACACAGAAAAAAAACAATCAAACAGTCAAGAAGAAAGTACATTGGTAGGCTGTTACGATTAAATTAGATAATTATAATATGCGTTTTTCCAGGTGAGTATTCATATAAAATATTTATTTCCTTAATTAAAACAACAAAAGATATATTTTTATTTATTTTTCCAATTTGAATAACTTTTTTTTATTGATTTAATAAAGTTGCATACCAAATTGTTAGGCTGTTACGATTTCACCACCTAAAATATGTATATTTGTATTATAATATATTATCTTGTTCGTATTTCATGAATGCAATCAATAACACTGCTTTGAATGCGAAGTTGGATTTAGCTTTGCTATAAGTTTCAATCGATTTTGAAATTGAGTATTGTTCGCATTTGTATGAGTGTAGTCGATGAATCGATAAAGCAAGAACATATGAGTTTTGATTCGCAATTGGATTGATGATTGAGGGATGATTCGTGAAGAAAAACGCGAAGTCAAGGACTGTGAAATTGTTGTTTGCAAGAATTTAAAAACTCGATTGTGGAGTTGTTGATGCTCATTTTGCGAAAGTAAAACAATCGAGTGTTTGCATCTGTGAATCAATTTGAAGTCAATTGGGTTAATATTCGCATATGGGTTCAACATATGAATTTTGATTTCGCAAGTTTAGAGTTCAAGAACTAAACTGTGTTCGCATCTGGAATGAAAATTTTGTGGTTCGCATTTGATTAATTAGGTTAAAATGCGAAGGTGATTAATGCGAAGGGATGCGAAGGGTGTAAGAATGAAGATGCGAAGTATTTCACAGTAGAATGCGAATTGGGGAAGAAAACATAAATTTTCAAATATTGTCCCTGGAGTTTCGCATTTTTGGAAATAAATACTCGACTTCGCAAATGGGGGTCATAAAATGATGAAATTGCAGAATTTTTAAAGAGATACACACACATAGACAACCATACATATATTTAGAAAATTAAACTAAAAGATGATAAATTACAGATTATAGCATTGTTCTTTGAGAACCCGTAGTATATGGGGTGGAGGGTAAAATCGGAATTAAATTTGTTTTTGGAGTTCTATTTGTATTTTCATCATGTAAACCAAATATTGTAGTTTTAGTAGGGGTAGTAAATGGCGACATATTGTTATTGTTATTTTGAAATGTTTTTTGTAGGATGTCGTGTTTTTTCTCAGCTTATGTTGTGACATTAGGGGTAGTTTTGGAAGAAATGGGAGAAAAAGGCTTGCGGAATCCATCGATTTTTTGGTAGGACGGGAAGTAATAGGGGTAGTTTTGGAATTGATATCCGGTTTAGGAGTTGCATGAGCTAATGATAATCTTCTGTTGGTTGTAGTCTTAATTTATGGAATTTAAATGATTGAAATTTTAGAGCTCATCAAAAGAATTGACAAAGGGCAAAATTGACATCTGATGCATTGTTTATTCTGTTGCGTGTTCAATATTATGAGAAATCTCATTTGACAGCTTGATTAGAATCTTTTTTAATACAATACCTCAAATAATATCAAAGCACATTCCCAAGAATGCATGCACCAATATACCATTTTATTGTGAAAATTATGAATATGTCCATGTTTAAAAAATGATCATTATTTTGAACAGGAATTTATTGAATGTATTCAAATTTGAGACATCTTTTTTATAAAGCAAATATACTGATATCTTATAACACGAAATTGAAAAGTAGAATGTTATTGAATGTAATTTTTTTTATTTTTATTGCAAATATATTGGTAAAAAAATCTGAATGTGATAGATGAACCTAGAAACAACACACGTTTTAGAGTTATGTTGGTTGTTACTGGTGGGCATTTAGTTGGTTGTGTATTTGATGGAAACCCCAAATGTTGCCCATAAATTATTCCAGAGGTATGTACTTTATTTATGTTATCACTTTAATTTCATCAGAAAAATTATTTATGAGGTTAAAATGAATACATCCTTGCCCAGAACCAAAAAATATGCCTTATTAGTATATATGATTGTAAATACATGTAATGTAATTTAGTTGTATGTAATATACTTATTTGTATATGCTTGAAACGAACTAATACTTATCAAGACCACCATCGTTAAATAATTAGTATATTTCTGATAAGACTCTTTAGAAACATATTTATTTGCTTATTTTACACATAAATTCACAAACATATATGCCACACATTTATTAAAAGAAGATTAGTCTAATTACAATGATAACCATAAAATGATAATCGTATTAAAATATAGAATACCAGCGAAAATAAAGCAAGAAGTATCAATGTTTGAACAGTAGACACCACAAAGAGCAATACTGTGAAAGAGAATCCAAAAAAAAATCCAAATTCAAGAACATTGTTGATTAAAAAAGGACAATCTCAAATTACTTTTCAAGCTTTGGTATTAATAGACCTGTGTTGCCATCAACTTTAGAATTCAATCGAGGGACCTTGGTGGATGAATTCACATTATCATAATCATCAACATCAATGGTATCTCCAACATTTCGTTTTTTTACTGTTGTTGGGGAATTATACTTGAACGGACTTGTAGCTTCAAATTTGTCGGGCAATGTTGGGGTCAAATTATCACCTGTTTGCGATATCGCATCCTTAAAACAAAATGTTGTAAATAGGTTTAGTAATAAAATATTAAGAAAAAGTAATCTTTTTAATAGATTATATAAAATTAAATAATGTAAATTTATAATATAACCTTTAAGGACTTTGTTTCTTGAGATACTTCATGAGATGCGATTTCTGTATCATCAGCATTTGCAGGACTACCTGCCTGAATCAGAAATTTAAATATTTATATAATTTGTGGGACATAGGTCTAAATCAATATAGATTTACAATTTATTAGTGAAGATCATTAAAAAAATATGCATCATAAAAAGTAATATTAAAAAAACAAATAAAAATAATATATAAATACCTCGACAGCTAACTTTTTTTCCAAAGCATCGATAACGTTACTATCAACCGTATAGCCAAGTATCCCAAACCGATTGTAGTTATTGGATACATTAAAACTGTTAACATCTATCTTAAAAGCCATCTTTTTATGCTCCAAACATTTGAGGTCGTAAGGATATAATCTTGGATTATCCCCAGCCTGGAATAAATGTGTTATATAATATATTTATGTTTAAAAGCACATTAAACTAAAGAAAATACAACAAATAACAACAATTAAGAAAACAAAAATTAAAATTACGTTATACCTGTTTGATTTTATCTATAAGATCACGTGCGCGTTTTTTGACGATTCTATAAGCATCTCTATCGAAGAGAGTTAGAGTGATTGTTCCAGAATCATCTTGCACACGAATAGGTATTTTATACCTATAAAAAATTCCCAGATAAATAAACATTAAATATGTTTAATGGTTAATAATGTAGTTAAGTTGTTCTGTTGATATTTTCTTAAATGTAAAAAAACCTTGGAACAGAAGAGATCGTCTTATTTTTACAATTATCACCATTGCATTTTAAAACGACACTTGCATCACCACTATCTGCACCACTGAACAAATCTTCTGTTTGAACTTTCTTTCCACAGTTTGTACACGCATCATAATACCAATCAATATCTTGGCGAATACCATAAATGGTCCCGACAATGATATATTGGCCGACCTAAAATAAAATCAAAACGATCATAAAAAACATTATAATTTTATTATCTGTTAAATAGAAAACAATATGACATCAATACAGATAAAATATTCACATACCTCTTGTGGTTCTATCAAATCGACAACATTTTTAACTTTGTAGTTATTCAAAAAGTCATCAAATTCGAATATGATTTAGAGCTTTCAACAGTCAAAGAAGCAGAAGGGTTTTGAAGTCCTCTTAATCCAACCAAGCTGTTTTTAATTTAGGAGTTTGAAAATAAAATTATAAAATTATTGAACAGAAACAACAAAACGATGAATTATTAAAAGGTACAGTTACCTATCTGTGAATGTAACCATTTCGGGAAGATTAGCATTTATGAACATCCGTGTGTGTTCAAAATAACTGTTCACAGAAGGTGTTGCTGATGAAACAAAATAAAATAGTAAATAGAATGAGTAATATAAAAGACTAAAATAAGGTTGATTGGTATAAAAAATTTACCGTTATAGACATTAATTCTTGCAAATTGCAAAAGGACAATCACACGACCAACTTCTTTATGAGCTTCAAGATAAGAAATTAACTGGTATGCAATATCTCCAAACAACGTAACATTAACCTGTAAACCTCTGCAAAAATAATAATGGTTAAATGAATATATAATACTAAAATTCTACATGCAAGTTGTAAAGTAATGAATATAAGATATAAGATATAAGATATAATATAAAAAAAGTTTTGGTTACTCTAAGTTTCTTATTTGTAAAGGCAGCCTATGTAGAGATTTGCTGACATCACGGAATCAAGCTTTCCTAATGAAACAACTTCACCAATAATATCTACAAAATGATAATACAGAATGTCAAAATGATGTGAATTTAAAGAATTAAATATAATATACAATCAATAAGGAGGGAAATTACCAATTGATTCATTAGATGTAGCTGTTGCAGAGATAATTGTTTCAAAAGAAACAAAAGAAAATCCATATTTTGTTTTGGATTGAAAGTGTAGACACTCGTTAACAGTTGTTCTTCTATGGAAATTTAACTTGGAGGTTACATCACTTATTTTAAAAGTGTATTTGTTAGGAGCGATAGTGGGGGACCGGATGTAAACAGCTTGATCTTCTTTCAATTTGGACTCAAACCTTTGAAAATCTCTTGGATACACACTTGCTCGGATTTTTGTACACTATTCACATAGGGTAAGAATATTATATAATGTTAAAAACGGAATTTTTAATAAATATAAATTGGTCAACATTGAAGATAACATCTTCAATGATTGAGTTTGAATAATATTATTGGAATGATCAAATAAAAAAAATGGTTTTGAATAATGCTATGAAAATAGTAGATTTTACCATTTCATCCATGAGTATCATCTCAATTGATCTGACAATAGTGGGGTTGCCATCTGAAAGCGATTTCCACAGCCGGATAATAGACACTTTTAGTGTGTAATCATCATTCATATTGTCCAAGTCTCTAATGAAAGTGATCTTTCTTTCTGCCATTGTCACTATAACAGAAAAGTACACAAAATAATTACAATTATGTGTATCGAGTACTAATAATATAAGAACGAACTGAATAATACAAAAAAATATCGATGTAAAATTTTGCAATAGTAATGGATTTAAACAATGATAAAACATAACCTAAACAGGAAAATCATAAAAATAGGAACCAAGTAAGATGCTAAATTTGACAGAAAATAAAAGTTAAATGCTATAAACAGCCATAAAACAGAAAGTTTTGATTTCGCAAGTTTAGAGTTCAAGAACTAAACTGTGTTCGCATCTGGAATGAAAATTTTGTGGTTCGCATTTGATTAATTAGGTTAAAATGCGAAGGTGATTAATGCGAAGGGATGCGAAGGGTGTAAGAATGAAGATGCGAAGTATTTCACAGTAGAATGCGAATTGGGGAAGAAAACAGAAATTTTCAAATATTGTCCCTGGAGTTTCGCATTTTTGGAAATAAATACTCAACTTCGCAAATGGGGGTCATAAAATGATGAAATTGCAGAATTTTTAAAGAGATACACACACATAGACAACCACACATATATTTAGAAAATTAAACTAAAAGATGATAAATTACAGATTATAGCATTGTTCTTTGAGAATAAATTACTAAAAATGGGATATAGTGTAACAGGAACTTCAAAAAGAAATTGATACTTTTTTGTTTATTATATAAACGGTTTGATAAATCAGACGAAAATAATTAATAAACAACTTCTGAATCAAAGATAAATAGAAACCTTGATTAACAAATTCAATGAGAAGCAAAATTGAAGTCGCAGAAGAAGAAAAAAAATTTCAATTATACGATTAACACAAACATTGAGAAGCAATCATATATAATCATGAGAAACTCACCGAAAGATTGAAATTGCTGATTGAATATTCGAAATTAAGAAGCAGAATCGAGATGCATAGACTGTCGTAAAGATTGAATTATGTAATTGAAGCGGAATATGATTGATATAGTATGTTATGCGCATAATAATTGATTGATATGCATACCATTTTTAGATGCTCTTAATCGGGCATGTAACGGAATTGATTTAATGTATACAGCAGATATTCCATATTCAAATTTCAAATTAGAAAATATCGATATTTCTAGATTCAATATTCCAAAGATTTCGATACAATATCATTATTTCCATCCATATTCAATTTGTAATGCTACGTGAAATTCCATATTCCATATATAATCTAATCTAATTCAATTCCATACCTAATTACCTATTTTATCTATTACCTAATGATACGTGAAAGGATACTGAAGGGGTAATAGAGTAATTTAACATAGGGCGAAAAATGGATGATTGTAATGACACGTGTCCAGTTGGTTTTGTTTATTAGATAGGGAGATTTGCAATCAAAATAAACAAACTTTCAAATTTAATCGTGATTTTCGAATCTGATTATTCATTAACATATTTTTTCAAATTATTTCCATAATCTTTATTCATTTAAAATTAATGCATGAATATTTTGAATGCAGTTGACAGCTAAAATTTCCTGATATATTACATCAGTTTGAACTTTTATTCAATTTTCGGATTCAATGGCATTTACGTAAATATAGAAGAAAAAATGAGCGGAAAAACTCTATTTTGGGGGCTGGAAGAATGCCACGTGGCCGAGTTCTACTTATTTATTAGAATTAGGATCTTATCAATTTTTTAGAAAAATCAACCTGAGCTGTTCATTCAAACGAAACCAAAATTTTATATTGAACAAGAACGAAACAAACCACATGTATTTTTTTCGTTGATTTGACGATAGATCATTTATTCGTATACTTCGAAGATATTCAAATATAGATAATCATCACTAAATTGTTATGACAACTGTAAGGAAAAAAAAAATTAAAATGAAGATTAACATGATAAAACGTTGACACTAAACCTCATTAATTCTTTATTTGACGATAAACCTTTTCCAATTGCATAACGTCTTAATTTGAAAGGAATGGTAGTATTTCTAGTATCTTGCCACATATTTTTTTTATTTTATTTTATTTTTTATTTTTTATTTTTTTTTTTTTTAGCTGATAGCCTCATTAGTGATTTTTTTAGCATTTAATAGAAAGTGGTAGTATTTTTAGTGTTTCTTATTTTTTTTTTAAACTTTAATAAAGTATAGACAAAACTACAAAAATGATCCCTGTGGTATGCATTTTTTTGGGGTTTTAATCAAAACTACGATTTTTTTTGGATTGGTGATCCTTTTGGTTATGTTTATACGTAGATTTGATCCCTCGTAAAGTTGAAATAACTGTAATGCTCTTCTGATATATTTTTTATGGGTTTTTTATTTAATTAAAATGAAAAAGAAAATAAATAATTAATTTGGGCCCTACTCTTTCTTTCTCTCTCTCTCTCTCTCTCTCTCTCTCTCTCATATTGGATGTTAAACATACACACACAAACACATACTAATGACCATTAACGCTTCTTCTCTTAAACCAACATATACACACACAAACACATACTGATGACCATTAACGCTTCTTCTCTTAAACCGAGCATCAAATTACTCCCTTTTCTTCAATCAAATTATTCCCCAGATGCGATATCACACATGTATACTCCTATAATAACTCCATTGTAACAACATCATCTTTAATGAGTATCCTGGTAAATATTAGGATCGGCTAGATCTAGTATCCTATATGTGAATTCATTGTACTATTCTTCACCCCAACCACCACCACCATTAATATTACACCACCACCACCGGAAACGAACACCTGAAACTAGAAATAATGTCTGGAACAATCAAGAAAATTTAATTATGAAATCTAACATGAAAATGGTTCCTTTAATAAAAACTACAAAAAAACCCACCCGCTCTAACCCATAATGTAGACTTTCACAATGCTTCGTTATATGCTTTAGTGTTGTACCCACTTGCAGAAAACTAGAGCACAACTACCATATTTGAAGATGAACCGGATATAGAAATCATAACAAATTAAAGGGGATACGGTGCAAGAGGGGTGGGGGAAGATCCATGGCCAAAGGAGACAAAGGGGCGATGGAGTCCCTACTCGGATCTAAATTGAAGCAAAATGTAACATCCCAAATTACGACCCAAAATTTTTTGTTTAATCATTACTAAAATCATTAGATCAATACCATAAAATAAAAACCCATACATCAATATCTCAAAACCATAACAAGGTATCATGAGAAAACTGTATCAAGACTGTATCAATCATATCTATGAAAAGCTAAATTAACTCCCAGGACAAAAACTAAAGCTGTGGTGTGTGCGATGCCATCATCCCGAGCTCTTCCCCTTACTAGCGGAAATACCTGAAACCAAAACAGAAACTGTAAGCATGAAGCTTAGTGAGCTCCCCCAAACTACCACATACCATACAATAACATATAAACACATATTGGGCCTTGCCCACTGCATCGGACCGAAGTCTGGAAACTGCATCAGACCGAAGTCCGGAACTAACCAGGGCCTTGCCCTCTGCATCGGACCAAAGCCTGGAAATTGCATTGGACCGAAGTCCGGAACTAACTGGGACCTTGTCCCCTGCATCGGACCGAAGTCTGGAACTAACTGCATCGGATCGAAATCCGGAACTGACTAGGACCTTGTCCCCTGCATCGGACCGAAGTCCGGAAACTAACTGAGCATAACATGGCATAGCATAAACATATTAACTAGCATAGACGCATTTACTCCATACTGCATCGGACCAACGTCCGGAACACATAACACAAACATGCTTGAATCAAAAAGACATCAAGCAATCTAACTATTGCATCGGACCAAGGTCTGGAACTACTCTAACTAAACGGGCCGACATTATGGTCGTAGACCCATTCCTACTAGAAGGAAGACTCACCTCGTAGTCTAGCTGCTGGATGAACTGTTTTGGAATCTGTCTGCTGCTGCTCCGGTTTCACCTGGGCTACAATTTCTATAAGTACAGTCAATCAAATACTGATAACTATACTGAGGGTAAAATAACTATTTTACCCCTGGTCAAAGTCAACATGCATTTGACCTAACTCGTCGAGTTGGGCCATCAACTCGTCGAGTCCCTACTCTCACTTCTCATTTTTGCGCGCTACTACTTGTCGAGTTTGGCATAGACTTGACGAGTTCCTCATTAATACTAACACTTAGTCAATCTGCATCCGACTCACTGAGTTGTATGAACAACTCGCCGAGGTCTCCTTCAACATATGAACACTCCGACTGTGACTCGCCGAGCTGTAAGAACAACTCGCCGAGTCGGTTTTTGGGATATGAAGATTTCCTTGGACTCGTCGAGTCAAGGCATTGACTCGCCGAGTCTCTACATGAATGAGTCTGATCTTCGACTCACTGCGTCCACCTAAAACTCACTGGTTCCACTCGGCATAATACATAAAAGGGGGGAAAACTCGAGGACTCGCGACCGGACTCGCCGAGTCTGAAGAACGACTCGCCGAGTAGGTTGCATGCAACTTCTATACAATTGATTCTACTCAAAACCAATCCATACAACTTATAGATCTAGGTTCTTAAGGCTTGTTTACCACGTAAAGTTTCCAAATTTACGTGTACATATGCATGAAAAAGGATTTAAAGTCTCAAAAGGCACTTAAAAGAGTAGATCTAGGGCTTTCATGCAAAATGGCTCCATAAAGGTGTTAGATCTACGTTTTTGGGAACTGAAACATGGCTAGATCCAAAGGATAATAAACCCAATGTGATCTCTCTACTATAAACAAGCTAAGAAATGGATAAAATGGCCTAAATGTGCTTATAATGGAGAATCAATCATAGAAACTGAAGGAATCTGATTATTACCTCAATAAACTCTGTAGTGGGTGCAAGATCTTGGATCTCCTTCTACTCCCTTGGATCTAGCTTCCTTTTTCTCTTCAAAACTTCAAAATTCACACAAGAAATGCTCAAAATGCACAAGGAATGGTTAGGGTTTGCTAAATGATCCTCTGAGGGTGAAGGCGGCGAGGTTGGGGCTCATAACCTGGTTTAAATAGGTTGCAAAACCCATGGATCTAGGGTTTCTTCCAGACTGGCAGACTCACCGAGTGTAGGATATAGACTCGCCGAGTTGCCAACTTAAACGTGCTTAATATCTCGTCTCTACTCGGCGAGTTGGTCCTACAACTCGCCAAGTCCTAGCCAAAAATGCAAAAATACTTAGATTAAAAATACATACCAGGAACCATG